CGTATGATAGTGTTTTATATGAGATTTGGTGATCTCGTAGGGTTTAATGTTATTATGTATATATTTTATTTCTTGTTTGTAAGGTAAGTTTGTACATATAATGAAAGTTACTGGACAAGCTTAGTTAGTGTGATTGGGTGACTAAATATAATTCTTATGTATTTAAATCTTCTGTCTTATCTTGCACTTTACATTCTTTACTATATTACTATTTGCATTTGTGACTAACACTATTATGATATAATTGATCCATTAGGTATGTTTAATAATTTTATATTTTATATATTTAAAAGTTCAATTCATCCTCTATCAAACTTAGTAATTGATCATAACACATTCTCTCACCTAAATGTGATCAAACAATACAATATAGGACAAATATACAATAATTAGAGAAAACCTATATGGTATTCTTAAGGAACATTGACAACATGTTCTACACTTAATTCTCATTTGTAAAGAGTTAGGACAAAGGAATTTTATCAGTTTCTATATTTAAAAGTTGTAAAGGAAATTAATAAACTTAAGTTCTACTCAAAACAATAAATCTAAATAACTAATGGATGCAATATAATTGTGTAATCAAATCAAAATATTGAAACCAATAGAAACAATACTAAAATAGAAAATTGTGCATTAAATTGAGAGTAAAACCTATGAAATGCAATGGTTGATTCTTCATTAATCAATTTATTCTTTTGATTGTCATTAATTTATATACCTAAATATAACCATATCCATGGAAATTCTAAATATTGATAATTCAATTAATTAGATCAAATTGATTGATCATATTTAATTGACCTAAAAATACAATTCAACTTAAAAGAGAAGCAATCACATAAACAAAGATATTGATTATGACGTAATTGATTATGGGAAATTTAAGAGAAAATAGAACTTAATAAAGGTTATGGAAGTAAATATTCTCGCATTTATTGCTACTGCACTATTTATTCTACTTCCTACTACTTTTTTACTTATAATAAAAAAATTCATCCAAATAATCTCAATTACATTGATTATAATGAGTTATAAACAATTAGAATCATGAAAAATAAAATTTAAACCATAAAAGACAAGTATTTGATTGAAAAATCAACTTTAGAAGTTTAGAAAATATAACAGAAAAGTAAAACAAGAACAATGTAGAAAATAGTAAAAGTGCAAAAAAACCATAGAGGAAATCCAAATTATGGAAAGTAAACAAAAGCAATAGAAAAAAAGAAGGATCTAAAACATTTTGAATTGATAAACTTTAAGATAAAATTTGTACTAACAGTACTAGAAAAAGTTATAAGATTATTTAATGTTTTTCGTTTACATGGTTTTGGAGTAGTCTCCTCTTTCTTGTATATTCTTTATTTTTTTATGGTTTTTTGTGAGATAGCTTGGTGATTGGGGGCGTCAATTTGGTTGTGATACTTTATCATTATGTTATTTCACATAATTTTGGCTCTTATTCTAATCATTTACTTGTTTGTGAAAATTCTTCTTTTGAAGAAAATAGACGAAGAGATTCCAAAGAAACCATACAACTATATATAGAAGAACATATTAATTGGCTTACATAATTTCTAATTTTTTTTATTTGATTGATGTGTATCATGAACAAATAAATATTTATGACTTACACGTTGTTTTGGGTATCATATTATTATTATTATTATGGATTGTGATGTCAAATTTGAGATGAATGTATATCCTATGGACTTGAATGCTCTTATAAATATTTATCTATTTGTTGATATAAGAAACTTTCTAGTTGGATTAAGCTTAATTTGGATAAATTTAGATAAAATTAGAGTTTCTTTCTTTGGATTGAAAATGATATTAATTGCTCATTATTTGCATTGGATTGATTTAGCTTTTAAACTTGTGAATAGTTATTTGATTTTGGTGTTGTTTGATGTTTTTTTTATAGGTTTATATTTGACATCTACTATTACTTTGATAATAAAATATTTAATAAATTCAAATCTCAATGTAGATATATTTTCCTATAACTTTATATTACTTTTAATTTGAATTCATTCAACATAATATTTATTGCAGGTAACAACTTATAAAGCTAAATTCAATGTGAATTCTCACTAAGAAGGGGAATAACAATGTTGAGTAGATATTTTTGACAATTGTAATTAAACAATAAAAAAAAATAAAAAATGTAAAAGGAGATAAAAAAATGAAAATAAAATTATATTTAAAATATATTGATAAGTTGAAAAAGATTGTTCATTTTAAATTAGGAAACGAAATGTGACAAAATAAAAGTTCTAAAATGAAATATAAAAATAAAAATTCTAAGCATAAACAGATTTTTTTTTTTCAAAAAAGAGCTTAATCTCTAAACTTCTATTTCAAATGACTTTGCTTATAAAAAATGGAATTTAATAATAATATTATTATTATTATTATTATTATTATTATTATTATTATTAATCTAAAACTAACAAGCTTATTCAATTAGTTAAACTTATTTAGGAAAGATAAACCTAATAACAAATAATGTAAAAAACAATTATTACAAACACATAAAAATAAATTTAAAGCCCAAAAAAAAAAACTAAATAAAAAAAAATACAATTTTTATTATAACTTCTAACCTTCTTCTTTTGGCCCTTTATCAGTTGTTTTACATAAGTTCATTAGAGCATCTCCAATGGGATTTGTTACCAAACATGATTTAAGAATAAAAGTGAATATTTTATTGTGGATCACACATTTTAAGTTGCTTAAAAGTGGAGAAAATTGTTTAAAATTAGAAGAAATTTACTTGGATAAACAACTCTGACCATATTTTAAATTACTACACCATGAGACCCATAATAAAATATTTAATTTTATTCTTAAAAACTCTAGTTAAAAACTCTCTTTTAAGGGAAGTTTCAAGTTGGCAAGAGAAGTAATCAATTGTTTGTTTTGAGAATTAATAAAACAAGTTTCCTGCAAAAGTTAATAGGAAAAAACTATTTTGACACAGGATTCCACAGACATCCCATATACAACTAATTATAATATTGTAATAATAATTTTTAAATTATTTTTATTATGATTAAATCATTCTATCATTATTATATTAATGAAATGGATTGTTTGGAGAGTTGTTTGTTTTTCGAGTGTCAAAACATATCATTGCTAAAGGTAACATACTCTGCAATATGTGCTGCTCATGGTTTATGTTTTCTGGCACAACTTCAAATGAGTCTTTGGCACATTTTGCAGCATGCTTTTTGCTGCGTCAATGGTGAGGAGGTGAGGACTTGGTAGACAACCTGGACTGCTGTGGTGTGGAATCTGTGGTCATACAGAAACAAAACTGTGTTTATAAGGGTTGAGTTTGATAGAGAAAAAATATATCTGGATATACTATTCTCCTTTTGCTCTTAGTAGAAAGGACTCCTACCAGGCTTTAAATACTCATTTGTAGGATGGCAGAGTAATCCAGGATGTTGTATTATGCCAAGATTATTTGGAAATATGGGTACCATTTTTCTGTCCACTGCAAAGATTGAATTGGAGTGGGGTTGTTTATGCAGTAAGTATCGATGCAGAGATTGTTACAAAAAGTTTACACCATTATGCAGATTTTTCCCAAGGAATGCTTTACTAATGGTTCGGGAAGATCATATCAAAAGGTAGTTAATGCAGGCGATTAGAAGTCATGCTCCTAATAAGCAAGTTGGAAGTTGTTAATTGCATATAGGAGGCTACAACAAGGTTAACGTTTAAGAATTGCATGACAGAGGCAACAAAATGATTGATTCATATATAGGGGTCACATGAGGCTTAATTTAATGAGGTAGAGGAAGTTATAGAAAATGATGAACTCCTCCTAAACATAGTTTCATTGCATTGTAAAAGGAATGATACTCCTTCTACCATAATTAAATATATATTAATTGTTTGCTTATAAAAAAAAGTTGTATTTAATTTAAACATTTCAGATTATTTTAATTAGTGTTTTATAATTTGGGTAATATTCTAATTATTTATGATGATATATTTAATATTAATTATTAATTATTAGAGAAAAGTTTAATTTCCTAAGTTTTTAGTAAATAGGCAATCTATGTTTTACTTTTACATATTCTAATTGATTTATAAGTTTTTTTCTCATTTACAAAAAATTATCTTGAAGTTTTTTTTTCATTGATCCTTAAGTTTTATCATTTTTTTCAAAGAAACACTTTAATTTCAATTTTATCTCAATTGATTCTTAAGATGTATTTCTTTCATAATATAGTCTAAATTATTTTAAAAAATTAGGGATACACTACTAAAATCTCACAGTCATTTATTTAAGTATTTTAACTCCAAGTAATTATATATTTTACTTTTAATAAATCATGTTTCCAAACATATTAAAGCATAATAAAATATAGAATTACAAAAATAAAATAAATACTTTAACTTTCTTTTTTCTAAGCTCACACTCATTATTTTGTAGAAAAAGAATAAAAGGACTAATTATTTAACTCTAACTTTTGATAGAAAAAACTATTTATGAAAAGAAAAAGTTTAAGAATAACTTAGAACGCAATTCAATGACAAAATGTATTCGTAAAATTGGTAAAGCTCAATAACTAATTAGAACGGAATTAAAATTCATTTATCTATTTAAAATGAGATTAAATTTAAACTAATTATGATAAAAATAAAGTTTAGTGCATAAAGTAAAAAATTTAAGAGGTTACACTTTTTCTTAATAGTTTTCACTTATTTTGTACTATCTTTAGAAAAAAAAAAATCAAATAAAACTAATCCAATCCAAATTACCAAAGGTCATATTCAGTTAGATCACATTTATTATTACATTCAAATTATTTCTTTACCTTAAACATGAATTCAAACATAACCACAAACCCTGTTGTCACAATACATGTTACATGGGTACAGGTGTTATACTCATCCTGTTTTGAAAGACACACTCAAGACTTGAAGAAGAAGAAGAAGAAGATGAATATGATTAACAGTCCACTGAAGTGGTGAAGTATATATCAGGCTGCAGCAGAAGATTTCAGGGCAGACTGCCTGAAAAGCTGAAGAATTCCCACTGTTTTTTCATGTGGAGGAGTTGCCTTTTTCACTGCTTCCACCTCAACAATGGCCATCAACCAAGAAAATAACAGTGGAAACTTTTCTGGCACTATGAACTTCATGCCAAGAACTTCTTCATGAGCCTTGTAAGGACCAAATAACGCACAAAACACAATCTCCACTATTCCAAAGTTGCTCTCAGTACTTGCATTGCGTTCTGCCAGATAGCTCTTCATTCCATCTTCAACCACATTCAGCTTTTCATATACTTGCTCAACAGCCTTTTGTTGCGCTTCTCCATCAGTTTTCACTACTAGAAAACTGGCCTCCATCAACTGCAACCGAAAAATAGAGAGAGATTAGAACAAAAGCATGTGGTTTAAACAAGAAGTTTGATTGACCCATGTGAAAATCTTAGTCAATCACGAAATCTTATATGTTTTAGTTAGTTCACTAATTTTTTACTATTCAAACTTCTATAATATTTAAACTCGAGATCTTGTTAAACCTCAAACCTTGTTTAAAATATTCAAGTCCAGTTCTATTAGGACTAATTTAATGCACGGGCTTGTGTTTCGTTTTAATCATGAGTTAGAAACCAAAAATTTGTGAAGTTTAATACTAACTAGTCTTTTTTCATTCTTTCAATACTTTCACCAAACAAGTGGTATGCGAATCAAAGCAGTGATATTACTCTGTTACAACGTGAGCAAAAATTATCCGACAAAATATCAAATCAGATCAGCAATTTTTTTTGAGTGGTTTAGTTTTTAAGAAGCTGTTACTATTATTTTTCATTTTTATACATCTACTAACGCCAACTTTAACATTATGGAAGCAAGAAATGCAAGTATTGATATGGTTAAATAATTAAAATAAGGAAGCCTTATTACTTACCTGATCCTGGATGAAACTGGACCAGAACCGAGCTTGGGCTCTTCTGTAGGAATCACTGGGAAGCAGTTTAGGACCATCTTTCCATGTTTCATCAATATATTCAAGGATCACCATTGACTCAGCAATGGCCTTTCCATTATGAACAAGTACAGGAACCTTCTTGTGAACTGGATTGTACTTGAGAAGCAATTCACTCTTATTTCTCAAGTCTTCTTCCACATACTCGTAGGGTATGCCCTTGAAATTAAGGGCCAGTTCTACCCTCTTGGCATAAGGGCTGGCCCACATCCCGTGTAGGATCACCTTGTCTTGCTCTGCCATTTTGCTCTGCACTTATTCTCTGGATGTGATGAATTAATGGTGGAGTTCATGCTAAGCCAATGGGTGTGTTTATATATATTGTTTGGAACTTGATCCCCAAGTTTTCCACGAATATAGTATTCCAATGTGAACGTGAAAGTGCAAGTCCAGTGTGAAAACATTATACTCTCTTCCATCCACGGCGAATTGATCTAGGAAGACATTTTCAGCAAACTCCTCCTCAATTTTTTAGGAGAATAGATGAAAAATAAAAATTAAAACGATATTTTCCACAAAGTTAGAATTGATTTATGCTTGATATTACTTTAGAATTTATATTTTTTAGTTCTTTTTAATTTGATGGTTAACTTTTTTTTTTATTATCTTCTAATGATGATACCTAAAATTGTCAACTCCGCAACGTTGACTTCACACACACACATATATATATATATATATATATATATATATATATATATATATATATATATATATATATAATTTTGCTTGGGAGTTCTACGTTAAAAGAATCATTGCCGTGACAATGTTATTCTTCGAAAGATGGGGAGGAATGTAACACGTTAAATTGTATATCTTCCATTCCGATAAGTTCTAAAGTTTTGGTAATTAAAAAAATGTCATCTTAATCTTATCAAATTTTATATAATCTCACTGACTCTTTAGTATATATATATATATATATATATATAATAGTCATTTGAACCTGGTGTACCACTTTTCTTTTCTATTACATGTTTTTTCTCTCTTTTGTTTTGGGTTTTTTGTTGTTGTTTTACTCTACTATCGATCCACGTACCATTTCTTTCACAATCGTTCATACACAATGAGCTAAAATCTAACTCAATTTCATCAATTTCCTTTTTCGTTGGCCCGTGAATAATAAAAATGGGAGGAAGGAGGTGAGAATTGATGGAAGAAATATTTAGGAAAAATATTTCAACAATATGAATATTTCAGTGAAGATACTCGTATCAACTTGTTTTAGATATATGAAAATTATTTTGAAATATTTATGATATACTTAATAAATAGAAATAAAATATTCCACACATATTGAAAAATTATGGTAGCACACTTTCATTTAATCAGGTTTGATATTTATTCTATTTCATTCAATCATATTCATTTCTTTCATTTACTTTCTTTCATTTACTGACTTAAGCATCAAAAAGTCTTTTACAAATATCTCACATTCACTTTATATTTATTTAGTCAAACCTAAAGAAGCTTAGATATCCTCCATAATCTAGATAATAACACTTAGCGTCCATCGTGGGACAAGATAAAACGTTTTCGACACTCACGTTTAGATAGCAAGGCATCTATTCTTTTCCACGCATCATGGACCCAACCACACTCATTAAGAGCCTCATGCCCACATGGCCGAACAAGAGCAATAAACTAATACAAAAATATAAGACTTACACATGAAAAAGTCGATTATGATTCGAAATAATTGCAAGAAGAAGTAAAGACTCTACATGATCATATTAATGAGATTATCAAGAAACCAACTGACCAAAAGAAAATAACACCAAATGAAGACGAAGTGGTAGTTACTGCGAAATCTCACTCTCACTTCAAGCATTCTGGGTGACAAAAAACCAATGTCGAGCCACAAAAATCAATATCAAGCCACAAAAGACTAATGCTAAGAAAGAAGTTGAGTAAAAACAGAACAACTAAAAACGAGTATGAATCTATTATGTCAACTCAAGTTTCAGTACAAACGTGTGTGAAATATGAGCATCCATTTGTGTAAGGTATACTTGATAACCCTCTCCCCTAAAATTGGCGTGCGCCCCCGGTCGATTCCTACACTGGGATCTCAGACAGTGGCGGATCTTGACCATTGATTTTGAGAGGGCCAAATAATATATTATTAATAAATAATAAATAAATATAAAAGGGTAAAAGAAGATGAAAGGGTGAGAAGATAAAATTGTAAATGAATAAATAAATATATTAAATGATCATTAAGTTTAAGGGGATAAAATCATAAATTATATGAGAGTTAGGAGTGATGAGAGGATAAAATTGTAAATATACAAGTAAATATATTAAATGATCATTAAGTTTGGGGGAACCAAAATTATAAATTACATGGGAGTTACAAAACTTTGGGGGGGTCACGACCCCCCTCAGCTCCAAGAAGATATGCCACTGATCTCAGACCCAGATGAGCACATATGAGTTTACCTTACACATATGGAGGTGTACTCGGACAAGGATTCCTTCAAATGTTCAATATTTTTTACCACACTCAAAGACATCGTGCTCCAATGGTATTATGAACTCCCAAATGGATATGTTGCTTACTTTGATGACTTAGCAAGCAAGCTAAGAGATCAAATTGTCACAAGCCGACCTTATACGAATAACTGAACAACCTTCGAAACATTAGATAAGAAAAAAAAAGGAGTAATTACAAAATTTCCTAGAGAGGTTCGTAGCCATCAGCCTCACCATACCACATTCAGAACCAAGTAATGCATACTATGATGACTAACCTTTAAACTAGAGCATTCTCAGAGAGCTTATACCTCAATAGGCCAAATGACATGGACGAGTTAAGAACATGAACCTTGAATTATATCCAGTTGGAAGAGGAGGACCAACAAGCTCGACATGTAAGAGACATTTACGCATCGTATACTATGTTCAAATTGGTACCCCACTACCAAATTTTCCTAACATCACTTTCTTGAATGAAGAATACAAAAGGTATGATCCATCCTAAGATGACCTAGATAACGACTTTGCTTGTGCCCAAATTCCTCTATTATCTTTCTAATCCAAATAGCTTCCTTACATGTCTGGGTGACTATCATGTACTCAGCTTCTGTGGTAGACAGAACTACAACATCCTGTAACTTGGATAACCAACTTACTGCCCCTCCTGCAACTGTAAACACATAACCAGTAGTAGATCTCCTTTTATTCAAATCACTTGCAAAATATGAATCAACATAACCTCTAACGAATAATTCTGATCCTCCATAACATAATGCAACACCTGAGGTTCCTTTAATGTATCTAAGGATCCTCTTTATAGCACTCCAATGCTCTCCACCAGGATTTCCCATGAATCTACTAACTACTCCCACTGCTTGTGCAATGTCTGGTCTTGTACAAATCATGACATACATAAGACTTCTCACTGCTGATGCATACGGTACTCGAGACATTTACATCCTCTCTGCTTCATTGTTGGGACTCATACTTGAGGATAACTTACAATTGATAGGAAGTGGGGTGGAAATTAGCTTGCAATCTTGCATGTTGAAGCGCCACAAGATTTTCAGTAAGTAATTCTTTAGAGAAAGTCAAACCTTCTTATCTTTTCTGTCTCTGTGAATTCGCATCCCTAAAATCTTGTTTGTTAGTCCCAAGTCCTTCATGTCAAACTCCCTAGCCAATTGTGCCTTTAACTCTTGGATTCGATCAATGTTGGGGCCTACTACCAACATGTCATCCACATACAACAACAAGATAACAAAATCATTATCACCAAACCTATTGTAATATGTACAATGGTATGAGCTGAGTCTATTGTAACCTAGGCAAATAATGAAGGAATCAAATATCTTATATCAACATTTTGGACACCTGCTTTAGACCGTATAGGGATTTGGTTAACCTAAAAACGAAGTTTCTTGTTATTTAAAGTCTTTTGGTTGGAGCATATAAATTTCCTCTTCAAGATCTCCATGAAGAAAAACAATCTTTACATCCAATTGTTCGAGATGTAAATCAAATGCAACAGACATAGCCAGGACAACTCTGATGGACGTCAATCTGACAATCGACAAGAATATCTCATTGAAATCAATACATTTTTTTCTGAGCATATCCCTTTATCACCAATCTAGCACGATATCTTTCTACTTGATCATTATCATCTCTCTTGATCTTATAGAGTCATTTGCAACCAATGGCTTTTTGACCTTTTGGAAATTCCACAAGATTTCATGTCTTGTTTTTATGAAGAGCCTCAATTTCTTTCTGCATCGCAGTCATCCACAGAGAAGCATCTGAACAACTCATAGCCTCTTGAAAAGTTGAAGGTTCTCCTTTTTCATTTAGACGACAATATACATCATGACTTGCCATCACATATTGTGAATGCCAAGATGGTCTGACTTTTTCTCGTGTTGATCGTCGGAGATCTCCATTACCAATCTCATTTGGTTTTTGATCTTCGTGCTCCTCTTCTGACTTAGACGAGTCATCCGAACATTTATTCTCTATCTGTACTATAACCTTGTCCTCTATCAAGCTGTCATTTGTCTGCTCACTTTGCAGTTCATTTTCTGTAAAGACTACATCTCTGCTAACAACAACCTTGTGGGAAGTGGGATCCCACAGGCGATACCCCTTCATATTGTCAGCATAGCCCAAAAAGAGACATTTCTTGGATTTTGGATCCAATTTTGTTCTTTCTTGAGTGTTGTACATCACGTACACAAGACAACCAAAAACACGTAAGGATGAATAATCAGTTGGTTTACCTTTCCATAACTCCATTGGTATGCTTAAACCAATGGCAGTTGACGGTGACCGATTTATAACATAACAGACAGTTTTAACCGCTTCTTCCCAAAAAAACTTGGTTACTCTAGCTATTCGCAACATAGCTCTAGTTCTTTCTAGGAGAGTTTTATTCATCTGTTCTGCTATACCATTCTGTTGAAGCGTATGTAGGACAGGAAATTGTCTGGTAATACCCTCTTGCTTGCAAAATGCTAAAAATTCTCCGTATACATATTCTCCTCCGTTATAAGTCCTCAATCACTTAATTCTTTTGCCAGTTTTAAGTTCTACTTGTACTTTGAATTCCTTGAACTGTGAAAACATATCTGACTTATTCTTGATAGGGTATACCCACAATCTCCTGGAGTAATCATTGATGAATGATACAAAATATTTTGCTCCTCCAAGGGATAGTACCGATGATTCCTACACATCAAAATGAATCAAGTCCAATATGTGTTTACTTT